CAACCGATTTTGGCGCACTTTGGCCTCAGTAGCATTTGTCGCCATAAAGCCTGCAATCCTCATCGCCAAGTGTCCAGATTAGGGCCCCAGGTTGTATTATACGTGCCTGCGAGCAGCGTCTATTGTTTTCTTTTTCTGGGCGTAAATGTACCGGATTTACCGGTTCCCTTGTTAAGTCGTCCCGGGAGTGCATTGGGACTTTTAATGAACGAATATTCTGGCGCCCTGTGTTTTCTCTATTTGGTGCACCGTATTAGCGCCTTTCCGCAATTGCATACGATGCCCTCCTCCCCTTGTTTTCCGGGCTCGCGATGGGAGAAGAGAGGAAAGAGCTCGCTTCAGTGGGTTCCGCCGCTACGCCTTCAGTGGTTACTACCGGCCTCTAATCTTTTAACAAGCCGTCGTGTGCTCTAACGCTCTGTAATGTTGGCGCCCGCGTTATCCGACGCTGCCAGCCTTTGTTATGAATCGTCTTGGTCTTCGATCACACAGAGGGCGATAACTGAAACCAGGCCGGCGCGCAAGAACTAATCTGATCCAGCTAGAGTTACAATGCTATAGAGCCCGGCTACCCGTCCGTGAGAGTTTATCACTCTTCTACTTTTTGCACACTGGATCATTAATTAGGCTTGAAAACAGGCGCACGTGATGTACCGCGTGAATGAGCGTCGAACAGAGACGTATCTCGTACATCGCGGTTTCTTTGGCACCAAACTTGCGTCAAATAAACTTGAAACCCTATTGAATCTTTGAACAGGTTGTACTGAAGATGCTAGTTTCTTACCAAAATTGATTTTTTTTAATTCTCCTAGCTTTTGTACCTGATGTGTACTCTTTGAGGCGGTTTTATTTAACTCCTCCCATACGTTCCTTTATGCTGTTGAAAAACGTGACCGTTTCTCTGACTTCCGTCGCATCATAACGCGCGACACACTCGCACACAGCGTCAAAGCCTCGTCGTGCAATGTGTTGAACAGAACTTGCGAATTTATTGATGCCGCATCAAATTTTCAATATGGCTATGGTTACTATACAGCAGTTCGGGAGTATATTACAAGTTGAACTGGTCTAAACATGGCGCGTCTTGTATACGCAATCGTAGCTCAGCGATCGGTGAATGCCGATTCTCACATTAAGACGTGCCAGCGATGTTCCCCCGGCGGCTTATAGTACTACACCAGCGAGTTCTTCTTTATGGTGTCCGCGACTGTAAAGATGCCATGATAAACATACTGGCTGAGCGAGAATGCAGGCGAGCTGGTTAAATGTGTAGGCCCTCTTAACCTGGAGCGTGCGATGGGACAGGACAAACACAAACGAGAAGCTTCGTGTTTGTGTCTCTCCGGCTGGAACCACTGCTCGATGAGGCACTCCCATGAAGCAGCCAGATTCGCAGCTTTCATAATACAAACGCGACGAAGTCGTTTCCGCAGCTGGTATATGCCCACATGTTTACACCCCAGCTGGCACGCATGCGCGCATTGTAGCCTGCACAGGACTGATGTGCTCCCAGACCGTTGTTGTGAACATTGCGCATTTGGCGAAGCCGTCGCTTCGCAAATGCCACAGCTTCGCCAAACACGCTCTAAAATCTAAAAAAAAAAGGGAACAAATTGCTTTTTTTTTTTTAGGAACACAAGTCGACGAATCACGGCAGACAACAGAAGGATTCCAGCGAATAACGGAGCTCGTAATGCAGGACCAAAAATGCGATGTATTCCGAGATAATGAGCATAACGTTTCACTTGATCATTGTCTCTGCACGCGTGATCTGATCGTATACTATCATTCATGATCATTCATGCATGGTCATTCTCTGTCATCCTTTTTGTTCTACGCCGCGATTTGTTGTCTCATATACTGCAGAAAAACGCACTCGCTTTTTTTCCTTTTTTATATAGGGAGCAAATAATCCTTTGTATTCCTTGCTCTTAGCAAATTGTTCTTGAGTAATTTTTTTTAAGCTACACACGAGTACTCGGGGGCATCTTCCTCCCCTCACTTAGCCCCTTCGCTCTGAAACATTTTGGTTTAAACTTGAAACGACCCCTGGGAAACCATTTTTTGCTTCCCGTGGAAACTGGAATAGCAGGTTAACGCACCACACAAATGAACAGTCGTGAATTTTCGAAAGGAAGGCAAACCGAAGCCATAAAATACACCCCTTTCCCGCCGCACTAACCCGGCAGTAATACCCCAATGTATTGCGTGGGCAGTACCCGCGATGCAAATGTATCTGATAGCATCTTGGGGATTCTTTTGGGTATCTGTATATCTGTACCGAACTACATTTCGCAAAACATTTATTTGTATCTTAGTAGTGAAATACACTTTCTTGAGTACTAACTGAACGTATAGGAAAAGCGAAGGAGAGGAGAAAACATTTTTCCTATACGTGCAGCTGATATTCAAGAAAGCATGTCAAACCAACTGGCTCAGCTCCAGGCCGTCGCAGTGAAATGTACATTCCAGATCTATCGATTCTGTCGAAATGCTCTGCCAGGCTTAGATATCCCGTTGCATCTGTTGTCGAAAATTAACTGCCGGGTTTCTATAATACCTCGAAGGCCACATTTTTTATGTACCCCCTTATAATGAGCTTTCTAAAGAAAAAGAAAAAAAAAAAAAGAAGCAAAGGTAGTTCGAACAAGAGCTGCGATAAAATTTCAGAATAAGCTCCTGCCGCAAAGCTCTCCACTTAATCCACTTTAGCAGAGCGGGCGCTAGAACAGGGGCGAGTGGAGAAAAGAAAATCGCCTATCATACAGTGGAGAACTTGGTAAGAGGAGCTTCGCTTCATCTTGTTGCAACAGGTTCCGTGTAAAGCTTAGGTACCCGAATACGGGGGCTTTAGTTTCGTGTATACTAGGGTGCTTTAATGCAAACAAACTCTACTTTGTTTTTTGTCTGCTTATTTTGGGTGCCTCGGATGCACTGCATCGGACAATTTGAGACAGACCCTCACGGCAAAGCAGGGTTCGCTGCGGGTAGCATGGCCTTTTGCCAAGCATGGCCTTTTGCCAAGCATGGCCTTTTGCCAAGCATGGCAGGCAGTCATTGTCCTCTATATTACCTACGTGGGTCACTCGGTGCGACCATTTATTTCGCGACATTCGGGATGGTAGTTTGTAAATAATGTGCGGAATGAGGGGAGGTGCGTCAACTTGCAGAGGGAGGGACACCAAAACTGCTACCATTTGCACACCATTCGGGAGGAATGTATTTCTGTGCGTATCTCTATCTTCCGGGATACTTCTCGGCCGTTGTCCAAGAAGTAGACCAGGGATATCCGTTACATATGACAAATTACACTGTATTTTGGCCTCAAAATTACATATGTATTTTAAGTGTTTGTATTCCCGAATACTTTGTGTATCTCTGCCCAGCCGTGATACATATTCGGTGTCTTCAAACCTGACTGAAGACGAGAGCGGTGATTGTACTGACGATCAATTCTCGATCGGCAATTTTCGTAAAAAAACAAAAAAAACTAAAGCTGCAATTTTCTTTTTTTTTTTTTTTTCACGGTTGGGATTTTGTTGCAGGCTGTAACTGCCGGTTTGGGGTCTTTTGCTGGGGAAAACTAGACAAAAGACCAGAGGAGACTCACGTGGACAGCGCCGTCTGCCTATACGTCTAACTGGACCTGCGCCTTGTTTGCGCAGTTTTTAGTTTTTAAAGATATATACCCTACTCGCCCAAGCGTCTACCTCTTCTCGGTAGGGGCACGTGCCTCCACTGTGTTCGTTCGATCCGTGTGCAGCTCATACTAAAACCTCCCGAACCGGCGATTTCGGAAAATGGTATGCACTGTGCATCCGCAAACAATACACGTGCCTGACCTTCTGCCCCTTTCCTTGTTTGCCGACGACCGTGCCGTTCTCTTGTTTGTGCGGTCGCCGTTCTATTTCCGTTTTCTTGGTCCATGCACTGCATCCTGCTTTGGCCTCCGGGACACGCGTTATTATCGCAAAATGCTTTTTTTTTTTTGCTCGCGGAATGTCGGGACGTGACAATCCCCGACTTCTCGAGATCGAGCTTGCTGCGTCGCCAGGGGCTAAGATACGAAAATAGGGCTAGCATTATAGACAATTGCAAGCATGGCGCCACAACTGGTGCCCCATGCATGCAAGCGCGTGCAACGCGCGGGTGAACGTAGCTTTGGCAAGCTCGTGATCGCACGGGCGTGCCTGCTCAAGCAGAAACATGGCGGTGGCCAGTCGCCCAGCTTGCAATCGTCTATACACCACACCGAACATTATTCGGGAGTACAAAAAAAATTAGCATAAATAAACCAATGTACTGAGTGCAACGAACCTTTTCACAAAAGTTTCTTTAGGTGGTGCATTTATTACCCTCAAACTCCTTCCAGAAATGATTTCTATAGATACGCCACCGCTTCAGCGCTAGGGAGACTCTCGCATACCGGCTCTCTTTGCATTGTTTAAGCTAGGTATTACGCTTGGCTATTCTATTCGCACACCTGTGTGCAATATTAAACCATTCAATAAAATTTTGTTTGGGGCTACTTGGTTCATATCGATTAAAAGGTTAAAAGGCGCGAACAAACAGGACGAAAAGAGACACGTACGACACGGGCAGGCGCCTGTCCGTGTCGTACGTGTCTCTTTTTTCGTCCTGTTTGTTCGCGCCTTTTAACCTTTTAATCGATTTAAACCATTCGTTCGCCACTTGACACGCAACCGTGTACAGTTTCTGTGCACTACCATGTTCCCTGCACATTCTTGTTGGAACTAAGCCCACTTTCCCGTTAATTTGCTTACGACTTACAACTTTGGTTGTTTTTCGCAAACAATGTTGGTGTTTGTAATCCCCGCCTCTCATTATGTTCAACCTTTCAAACTTCTCTGTAGTAAGTGTATCATAAATAAAGTGGCTTTCTGCTGATTGTGTTTGTATTGAGCCTTCTTTTTCCAAAATTACCCGCTCCCTTGTAGCTCCCGCTGAATCTTTTCCTTTCCGTTTGCCTTTCTTTGCAGAACATCGAACACGCGGTGGTGATCAACGGCGAGATCGTCGGACTGACGCCAGGCGACCACGGCCTTCACGTCCACAGCCTCGGCGACCTGACCAACGGTACTGCAGCATCTCTGAGCTGTTCAGTCTGAACTTTCCCCAGTCATGAATCCCCCTTATAGACCAACGCACTATTTACGAACAAGTCAGCGTTTCCCCACACCAGGTGTGGACATTGCGCGTGCACAGACTCCAAATTCGCGTAAAGAATAGAAACCTGATTCCCGTAAAGATGAGCGCATGCGGAGTACCGAGCGTCACCTCTAGCTGCGGTGTGACGTAAATGCGTGTTGGTCTATATACGCTCTAAACACGCGCCAGATTGCGCCGCCATTGCCGACCTTCACTTGTCATACCGAACCACTGAAGCGGGCGTTCACGAGCCTTTACAAAGGCCTATGCTGGGGACAAGGACGCAGTAGCACCTAAAGTGGCAATGACCTGTCTTGCTGTGGCAATGATGAAGTGAGGCGAACGGAATAAAAAGGTACAAAAGCTGCTGAAGGTCGGTTATGGCGGCGCCCATGCACAGCTGCCTGAAAGCGCCTATACCGAGCCTGTCTAATGTTCGCAGGTTGCAACTCGACGGGCACCCACTTCAACCCTATGCACAAGGACCACGGTGCACGTGAAGATCGCGAAAGGTACGCCCCATCTGGCACTCGGGTGTCGCCCCTGCGCCAACGTTGTTTCGTGCGGTATTCAGAAACACGAGGTGGCCTAAGCCGCTTAGCTAGCGACTATATTGAATAATTAAAGGCCTCTACCAGTGATCTGTACGGGAGATAACATTCATAGAACATAGGTGTATGCCTACGAATGAGTCTCCTTGAATTGTCGGGTATACAATTCGGTAAATAGCAGTCGACTGGATCGCGGTTCTGTATGTCGAGCATGATTCATTGCGTCTGTATTTGCTTTTTCTTTAAATATGACAGGTGCATGTAGTGCTTCCCGCTTGTAAACTTGTTGATCGTAAAATACAATATCCCCGGGATGCCGCTGAGATCGTCAGAATTTTATTTTTAGGGTGTTAACGAGCGGTCTAGGACAACCTGATTTACACCCTGAAGGGTGTAAAACATTTTGGTGTGAAGGCTATGGAACTAAAACTACCTAATTCAAAAGCAAACAAAAACATTATATCGCATTATAGGAAAAGGTTGTTCGACGTATACTGAACGTCCGAGAAGCAAAGAACGGGAGCGAGACCAAGTAGTTGTATGGTGAGCCCTACAAACATATTCCAAGCCACTCTGCTCAAATCGAATTACCCCCGAGGGAAACGAAACGGTAACCGAAACCGCCGGTCGGCGGAGAGCGAGAACTCCCACCACGAACATTGAGAGTGCCTTTTTCATCGTACTTTCGTCTTCTGTTGCTTATTGTTCTTTCGTGTGTTTTCTGTTTGAACAAGACGTTTCTAGCGTTAATGCTCCTGGGCAAGTTCCGCGCGATTGTCGCCATTCTGCACCCTTGAACGAGAGCCGGACTGGACTCGTAGGAAAAATACACCTATGTTTATTTCTGGGAATGCTCAGCATTTGTGGGGCTTGCGCTTCGATTCCTGGGCAGCGTACATCAATCTAAAAAAATATATATTTAATTTGATTGCTTTTGGCATTTTAGCCTAACAATTCGCGGTTCGGGGGAATCTGGGCACACGATGACGATGGTTAAGAAACACGCGGTTCGCGTTCATCGGCTGTCTAAGGTTTACTGCTATACTTCAGCTTTAAAAGTGAAAAGGAGCGAGGTCGAAGCTGCGTGCGTGAGATGCTGCCTCGAAGCAACAACAAAATCGCTTGTACTGCAAAAGCACGTCCTTTTCTCTTTCCCGCTTTTTATTTGAGGCGTGTATCCGAATAATAATGCAGATGTTGATTATTCCGCAAGCTGGAGTCACTAGAAAGTGATAAACCTGTTGGATACTCCGCAACAAGTTTATTGGCCAATTTGTTTTTGGTTCTTAATATGATGCAACTTTTATGCAGTGATCCGCACCATATCTTGAAAAATCAAACGACTTTGGTGAATACCATTGAAATTGATGGGATCACGACTGCATGCTTGCTGCATCCGACAGCGGTACAGGATTGCGGCATGCCGCCGTCCGAAAGATAATCTATCGAAGACACGTCGTCACGTACCTCTCTACGACGCTCCGATTGGTTCACTGGAGTCGTTTCCGGTTACGCGGAAACTCTGGCATTTCCGATGCCGCCGAAAATTCAAGACTCGTCCGTCTGCTACCGCTGCGCATGTGCTGTATACCCTGCAGGCAACCCCGAAAACAACGTTACTCCCCGAAGGTGCTCCATTGTGTTGCTCGGAACCTTGAGAAAGTCTGCCGTTGACTTTCGATGCTTTGAACAAAAAATAAAACATATAAAAGACTAACCGCACGGGTGTACAACCTCTCGCGTCGTGTTTTACAACGCAGGCACGTCGGAGACTTGGGCAACATCAACGCCGACGTGACGGGCAAGGCAAGGGTGTACATCAGCGACGGCATGATCTCGCTCATCGGGCACCACAACATTATCGGCCGGGCTTTGGTGGTGCGTACGCATTGAAAATCCGTAACCGCGCGTCTTGCGTGAAGCATCCGTGCTACACGTCATAGATACAAGGCGCTGTATGGTTGCTGACGGGTTGAGAGCGGCGGGGAGAACTTTCAGTTGTCCTAACACCCAGCGCGAGCTTCCTTCCTAACTACGGTTTCTGGAAAGCGTCTAGAGCTGGCGCGTTTTACCGCGTCCAAAAAAAAAGTGGTCCCTCGATTTCCGCTTGATGACGTCATAAGTGTCCCACTATCGCCCGCCGCGATCCTGGCGGTGGTGTACTGTACACGTGCCAGACGCCTGTCCTGCTGCAGCCAATGCCACAAGCACTACAGCTCGAGGTCGCTGCTACAAAGCGTTCTTCCGCAGAGCGCCCGCGCTAGAAATCCACGTATCGAAGCAAGGAGCGCGGACTAGCTCGCGCTTGTTGCTTTGCCTGCAATCTCTACTAAAGGATGAACGGAGTATAGGGTGTATTCACTGGCGGCCATAGCTGTGTGCGCGACTGCTGAGCACGTGCTAATGACGAGCTTCCACATTTCTTTTGTAACGTGCATTCCGCACCCTCAAGATTGCCGGTCTTAGCAGCCTATTAATGTGGGCTCGTTCTGAGCATGCGCTCTAAACAGCACCCACAAATATGGCGCCCAGTGAATACTGCTTATAGGGGTGTGCGAATCGTTGTCCGAATCGAATGGCACTACGTCATTCGTAGCCTTCACAGTGCAGGAGGATGCCACAACAACGTGTATAGTTTGATGCCACATGTACCGTGGCTTCGGCCTTGTCCGCTACTGTGCATTTGTCTTAACGACTGGCATCTAAAGACTGTGACCGACTGCATTGCGACTTTTTTCAGCTCCAGTACAACGCTTTGCGCGCACTTCGGTTGCCGTAGCAACCCTCTCGTAAGTAGGCAGTGGTTCACCCAAGCGGAAATATCTTAATCAGCCTAAAAGGGGTGGTGCAACAATATTGGGTAGATGTTTCCCTTCTTACACAAGCTTCCTGGCACTAGTGGAAGCCAAGTGTACTCGCACGCAACGCCGCTGGCCAAGAAGCTTCTTGGTTGCCGCATAAGTTCCTGGATATAGAAGCGGGCGTTTTCTTTAATTCAGGCTCTTTCGCACGACGTGATGACAAAGCTGATGGAATAGCATTATTGGTCTTGACAACAATGCGATCTCTAGGATTTTGTAATCGAGCTTGTACGGCCCATATAGAGAACACGAGCAGTGGGTGACCATTCGATTTGGGCTCGTGACAATCGGTGCCTGAACATGCATTTGGGTAATGACTGCCTACCAATTTTATAGGTTATAAATATCGAGAAACAATTCTCGGCGCTCTTTATTCAAAGTACTAAAAATGTTGCATTGCCCCTTTAATGGAGTCGAGATGAGCGGATTGGTTATATTCTACGGTGCCTGCATGGAAAGGGTCTTCGACTGGTGCGTTTATAGCGTCCTATCTCGCCCAAGTAATGGTCCCGAGGTGCCAACAAATGGCGTCGCAGAAGGCGTCGGATGTCACGATTAATGCTAAGGAGTCGCAGTGAAAAGCATGAGCGCACGCGATTGTCGCTGTCGTCCGGGCGACCCAACTGCTAGCTGCCAAAGCTTCTGTGCGCTGTCAAGCTCGCAGAAGCTTTGGCAACTCGCAGAAGCTCGGACAGGCGTCTGCTACACCCACCAGCGCTTCTGTGACACTGCAAGTGTCGCGGCCAGCGACAGCGTGACACTTCTGCGATGTCCTCGGGTCGGAAATCGAGGGAACACTTTTTAGGACGCAATAAACACAACCAGTCGGAGACACTTTCCAGGCACCGTTCTACGACACACACTTTGAGGGAGATAACAGAAAAGGACGTGCAGACAAATTATGTGTGGCCTAGTTAGTGATTATCGTGAAACTCATCGGAAGGACTCGTCTCGCCAGGTCCACGCCCTCCCGGACGACTTGGGCAGGGGAGGTACCGACGAAAGCAAGGCGACAGGCAGCTCCGGCGCCCGCCTGGCCTGCTGCGTCATCGGCTTCCAGTCCGGCACTGGATGGCCCAGCCCCAACTCGAGGCTGCTCTTCCTCATGTTTTCTGCTCTGCTCGTTTTCTTCTGCAGGCACGGCGCCTGAACCTCGTGTGCCTCCTTGTTCACTGTGTACATAGCTTCGTTGCGTTTTCGCCAACTTGTTGAATAAAACACTGCTAGCTGCGCTCGTCCCTTGTTCTTTCTGAACCTGGGACGGATCGGACCACGGTGGAAGGTGAGATCACTATTTGAACGGCGCCGCCTCACCGTAGAACAAATCTGGCGAAGGTTCCCTCGCACTTCCCACGAGAGATGGCGCAACACATCTAGGGTAGACGAGTTGCAGATTTAGTAAAATGCTTTGAACTTCAAAGTCACTGACGCAAAAATAGACATTGGGACCAAGCACAGGTGATCGGACTGGTGGCATTAGGGAAGAATGAAGTATTATATTCTTTCAATCTGTAGGGCGGAAAGTGCGTCAACCAGATTGCGAAGAGCACCATCGTCATACGGATTGTAACCGCCGTTTGTGAAAAATGCTAAATTATAATCGCGCACAGTAGCAAAATAATTCCCAATTCTAAGTATACCGTTGAAAGGCGTAACATTTTGTTCTCGAGCTCTAGTTAGGTGGCGCAAGCCGCTGCCCGATTAGAACGCACATTCGTTCATCCAGTAGGAAGCTCGTCGTGAGAGCCCTCTCGAAGAACCGTCCTTGTGTGCGCACAAGGGCGCGCGACATAAAATGCGCGAAGGCCCCTAAACCGACAGCGCCCCTGACGGGAGGTGCGCAAAGCCCGAGCGAAGGTCTGCCGCCTTGGCTGGCCTTGTTCAGAACCTTCTATTCTTCTTGGTAATAAAACCCGTGACTCGAGAACACAGAAGGGGACGAACACAACACAGCGTCTCGCACAGCTGAGGGTTTATTAGTCATTTGTTTAAAAGGGCGGTGCAACGATTACCAGACATTTGCTAATTAACTGTGGAAGTTAATTTGTCACCCATGAAACAAAGGACTGAAGACCGAATTTTCTTTGGAGCGCTAGTTTTTGTGTAGAAAAATTAAACAAATCGAAGAAGTGCCTCTCAACTCTCCACGTCGCCTTTCGAGTGACGTACTCTGGAGGATCACGTAATTTCCCCTTCGGTTCTCTCTTTGGAGACCCCAGCAGCTTCCATTCATTCATTCATTACATTCATTTATTGATACTCTCAGCCCTTGCACAGGGCTATTACAGGGATGGAAAAAAAGGACAATAATAAACAAACATGTACGCTTACACGCAAGCATACGCAATGGTTACAGACATATTGAGATGCTTCGGTATTTCGGCAGTTTACGAAACGAATATCACTTCCTAGATGTGAAACATTTCTTTATACAAGCTGTAGGGGTTTTAATTTGTAGCACATAAAATAATATCAGTGATACGCTCCAGAAATTCATTTAGCGACATAGATGACACAGCGGAATCAGGTAATATATTCCAATCTTTAATAGCCCTTGGAAAAAAAACTACTTGAAGCAATCGTTTTTAACAGATGGATTCGGAATGTACATGCTATGACGATGTCTTGAGGATTCAGTGGAGTAAATTTCAAAATACTCAGATTTCCTTATCTTTACGCAATTATGAATAATCTAAAAAAGAAACTTTAACCTTTCATACTTCGTTCTTGATTCAAATGTAGGAAGATTGGCAAGTTCACATAGTTTTGTGGGGGAATGAACGTGGCTGTATTTATTAAAAATAAACCTGGATGCGAGTCGCTGAATTTTCTACAGCGTATTGCATTTTGTAATGGTATATGGGTCCCATACAATTTTAGAATACTCGATGACTGGTCTTACCAGTGTCTTATAAGCCAGACTTTTTATTTCAGGAGTTGCAATAGCGAGGTTTCGTCGAAGGCACCACAGTGCTTTATTAGCTTTGATGCATATACGTTATCAATGTGAGTGTCCAATTTTAGATCAGGAGTAAATATTAAGCCTAAGTATTTATGTTCTTTTACTCTCTCAAGCTCAGCACCCGCAATACAATAATTATAAGCCAAAACATTTTTTTTTCTCGTAATAGACATGAAGACTGATTTTTCAGGGTTTAGCACCATTTGCCAATTGTTACACCACTCTTTAATTTTTTCTAAGTTATAGTTTAATTCGATTTGATCAGCTGATGTTTCAATTTTATTGTAAATCACACAATCGTCGGCGAATAATCTGATTGGAACTGAGATGTCATTGCGCAGATCCTTAATATAAATCAAAAATAAAAGAGGACCCAAGACGCTGCCCTGGGGTACGCCTGAAACGACTGGGGACATGGTGGATTTGCTACCCCCAACTGTAACATACTCCTTCCGTGATGAAAGTTAAGAGGAAAACCACTTCGGTGATGGCTGGATTCTTAAAGACAGCACTGATTTTCAATAACAATTTGGGGTGAGATACTTTGTCAAACGCCTTTGCGAAATCTAGGAATATTATATCAGTTTGACCACGACAGTTTATCCTTTGAGAGAGATCATGAACAGTTTCTATGAGCTGGGTAGTCGTGGAAAGACCTCTGCGGAAACCATGCTGTGATTTAAATAATATATCATATTTTTCAAAGTTAGCCAGTAGATGTTTAGATATGATATGCTCAAGAAGTTTAGAGCATGTACTAGTAAGGGAAATGGGGCGAAAGTTACAGACGTCATTAATACTACCGCTCTTGTGGACGGGTATAATTTTTGCTATTTTCCACGCGCTGGTAAAAGAACCGCTACTCATAGACAATCTAAAGATGATAGTAAGGTATTTAGAAACCAACTCAGCATACCTTTTTTTAAAAATTCATTTGGAATTTCGTCTGGACCCGGGCTCTTTTTTGAGTCGATGTTAAGTAGAAGGTTAAAAACTCCTTGCTCACTTATATCTAAATCATTGATGGGAGGATTGTTGGAAGAATCACTAAAGCTTGGCAAATTTCCATCATCGTTGGTAAAACTGATGAAAAAAAAGTGCTAAAATTTTCAACTCTTTGCTTTTTATTTTTTGGGTCAGAGGCACGCTGCTGGAACTTAGCCGAAGAGTTGACGTACCGCCAGAACTTCTCAGGTGCCTCGCTAAGGAATTTTTTAAGTGTTATATTATAAAACCTTTCTTTAGACTCTCTAACTAGACGCCTCAGCTCCCGACTCAATCGCTGAATGCAAGTTTTTTTTTTTTTCTACACCTGTACCATGTGAACTCGCTCGTTTCCTCTTCAGTTGTCGTTTTGCATGGATTATTTCCCTTGTAATCCAAGGATTTTTGTTCGCGATGTTTTTAGGGCGCTTTGGTATAAATCGCTCAATACACCGTAAAGTCATGCTTGAAAAATAGTCCCATAACGTGTCTGGGCTAGCATTTGATTGGTAAAGAAACATAAAATCATCAAACGATTGTTCAAGGCAATCAAGTACGCTTACATCATCAGCACTTCTAAAATCCAAAAGCATCTTTCGTGAATGACTGTGCGATTTTTCTGGGGTAACATTCAATGAGACGAGTACCATCCTATGACGAAGGAAAAATAAAAAAACGGACAGTACAACGAAGTCTCTAGAGAGACTTCGTTGTACTGTCCGTTTTTTTATTTTTCCTTCGTCTCAGGGTTATTATGGATACCATTCACCAGCTCGCCTGTGTTTTTTACCTTTCTTTACCATCCTATGATCGGATAGGCCTTCTTCGGTTTCACATTTCGAAAAAGATGGTTTTAAACTCTCGGAAACAAAAACTAGATCTAAAATTGTTGACGTTGTTGAACATACTCTAGTGTAATCTGTTACCTGCGCAATTATCGACTTCAAAAAGATTAGCATCACGGAAGGTCTCGCGGCGAGCGATCGACACGAAAGACTGTTCGCCACGGGGGTGACGGGGGACCTACTTTGTTCACTTCCGCGTATCCTCCAGAGTACGTCACAGATCAGTTCCGTTAACCACCACACGCGGCTGCAGATCAGCAAATATTCTGTTTTCTTTGCGATTACGCACCGGAATAGCAGTTTTGGGGGGCAAGGTGACACATTTTTGGTCACTTGTGCTTGGATGAACAACATAAAAAAATGAAAGCCGTTTACAATTCCCTGTAACGCCGGTTAGAGCGCAGCTCTTGAGGAGGAAGATGGAAGCGTACTGAGAGATAGGTGACTCCTTGAGGTCACGTGACCTCAGGGGGGTCACGTGACCTCAGAAGGTCACGTGACATCAGGGGCTCACGTGACCTCGGGGCCACGTGACCTGAAGGGGTCACATGACCTTAGGGGGGTCACGTGACCTCAAGGGGTCACGTGACTTCAGGGGGTCACGTGACCTCAGGGGGTCACGTGACCTCGGCGGGTCACGTGACCTGGGGGTGTCACGTGACCTGGGGGTGTCACGTGACCTGGGTGGGTCACGTGACCTCGGGGGGTTCACGTGACCTCGCGGTTACGCCGACGGCGACGCCGACGGCGACGCCGACGCCGCTCAAGCCGGAAACGGGCCCCTAAGAGCTGCGCTCTAAAATACGAACTGCCAATTCTTTCAATACTAAAATCGTTGCACTACCCCTTAAAAAGGCGAGCCTCCCGTGCCCCAAACGACACCCACAGTCCCGAAGGTCAAGCCGCCTCCTCCTGAGTCCTGACCGGTCTATCGTCAGCCAGCTCTCCTCACGCACACACATACATGCACACGCGCCAGGCGCCACAACCGCTAATCCCCCAATTCCGCGCAAAGCTTTCTTGCCCCCCGCCGTTGACTCGTACACAAGCGCACCCCTCCGATACCCCCTTCCCTCCACCCCTCCCTCACAGTTACCGACGTAAACACAAACATCGAAGACACAACACATGTGGAAATGCGCCCCAAAGTAATCTCAAATCCTTAAAGGCCTGTTCACACATGCAGCGGAGCGCTACAAGCATAGCGCTGACCTCGCGCTAACCGCGTGCTGACGGGAGCATTCACCAGCTTTGTATTGCACCGTCAAAACTGTTGCTCATGGCAGACGATAAGTAGCTGACGGCGCGTGAGGAGCGCTACATCAGCGCTTCGCTGCATGTGAGAACCGGCCTTAAAGCTTATACCGCTAGTAACCGACCTTCTCCAAGAGCCTACCCCCCCCCCCCCCCCTCCCTCCCTCCCTTTCTTTGTCTCTTTCCG